AACTGCTGACCTTGCGGTTTACAGCCCGATTCGTAACCACTACGCTACCAGAGCTCACAAAACAAAACAAAACACCCTTCAGAATGGATGTTAAACTGTATTCTGTATGGACTGATACATATGGAATTCTTTTCAGAGGCATGCTAAGTTGGCACAGCTATTGGAAAACATGCTTACTTCTTAGATGTGTGCTGAGTATGGTTTTGGGGAAGTGATTCCCAAACAGCCTTCTAAAGTTAATGAGGTAGGTAGAAGATTAGAGAGAAAGGAAATCCTGCAAACATGAACAGTTGTTTCATCTGGCTCTGGTGTGGCACTGTAGAAATGGTAACCACAAGGTTGGCAGTTCAAACCCACCAACTGCTCTTGCAAACTCTATTTAGGGTTATTATGAGTCGGAACTGACTCGGTAGCACCCAACAGAATTTATGGATGAATATATGGGGTTCACTACTTTTCTGTAGTTTTACTTTTTTTTTTTAAACGTACCTGTTGGGTGAAAGGATTGCTGATTATAGCAGCAAAGCTACTAAATGGCAGGAACTGTGGGAATCACTGAGTCTGCGCATTTCTGGTCCTTGCAGCTGAGGACTTTGTGTGTTGCACCTGCAGTGCTGAGTCAGCCGTTGATGCCACTGTATCAGCAGCTGCCTTGGACAAAACTTGTGCCTCACAAGGGTGGCCCTTGAACCCAGGGGCACTGTACATGGTGGGTGCTGAGTTGTCCACTCATTGTACCTGATTCCGTCACGTTACTATTAATAAACTCACTGGGCTGACTTGCTGCAGTTGAACTCTGCACCTCCCATCTGAACTAAGACCCGCTCCTGGGAGCACTCACACCACCCCGCCCCCCCTTTTGGTCTAGTATGCCCTTAAAGAGGCCTAGCCAGAAGAGAGAGCTAGTGTGCTCCTTGTCCAGAAATGAAGGAAACACAGCACAGCGCTACACTGTTGCTGAAATGGGGGGAAAACGGGCTAGGGGGTGGTCCCGATGGTTTGAGCAAATTGTTTTTAAAATGATAAGCACATCTATGGACTTGAAGGTACGGTCACCAAACCATGAACTTGTGCTGCCTCTGGGTGGATGAAACTTAGGGTGTTTTTACTTATTTTCTGCCTCTGCAGTAATGATCGTGTAAAAGGCAAAAGAAGTTACCGTATCCTGATACTTAATAACCAATTCCCATTAAATTGGCACTTCCTCATGAATGTGGGGATTGCATATCTGTTTACAGGGTGCCTCTGCCACTGTGGTCAGACTTGAGGTTCTGGTCGTGGGACAGCTGAGTTGTATCTTGGCTCCAGTACACCTTGATCAGACTGCCTAACCTCTGGTTCTCTTCCTTCTCTCTGAACCGGGATGGAAGGAGCAGTAGAAACCGCACAGAAGGCTCTTGGCACAGGCCGAGTAGTACTAAGTGTTCAGTAAACATTAGTCATTGTTACTAAAGTCACACGCCCTGATGCCTTCTGTGTATACTGATGCCCAGTTTAGTGACAGGTTCTGTGCATCTTCCCTTCTTGCTTGAAAAGGGAGCAGTTGAGAGCCCAAGCACTCAGCCTTTCTAAAGCTTCCTCATCCTAGTGGGAGGGAGAAAGTGCTAGTAAGTCTGACGATAGATGGGCTCAGTGCTCAGGAAGCCGAGGCTGAGGCCAAAGACCCCTACCAAAGTCCCCAAGAAGTATCCCTCCCCACCACTACTGGGGACAGGGGAGAAAGTTCACCTTTAGGACACACGAGGTAACAGATTTATTTGGAAAGCAATCATCTTAAAATTCTCTTCCAAGCTCACTCTTTGGGCCAGTGTGGATCCCCTGAGGCAAACATACATCAGTCACTAAGTACAATTTTCAGCTGTGTATCTGGAGTGGTGGTCTTCCAAATCTGATGAAAAAAATCACTGGAGTGCTCTGCAAACAACGTCGTGGCAACTACCATCAAGATGAACGGCTTCAGTGGGTCTGGGAAAGACCAGTAATCTGGAAATGTTTATTTGATATTTGAGAAAATGATTATCATCTCAAGGAAGTCTGGGAAACACCCATCTGGATGGAAATGACCTTCAGCTTCCTTTGCAGATTTTAAGACCCAGACTGACCCACTGAAAATTCTTACCCAGCCCAGCATTAGGAACATAAACTAGGAGCAGTCCTTTTCTGGGGACCTTCATCCCTCTTTTAGTCCCTTTCTGAAGGCCTTTTTCCTTGTTCTCGTTTCTGGGCCCTCTGTTTGACGTCAGGATTTTCTTAAAGGCACCATCTTCCTTACGGCACAGCAAATCGCTTCTTAAATTGATTTCTCGTTAAAGAACTACAATAACCTTTGCCTGCTTTTGCCCTGCTCTCCTCCCTCAATTTGCCAAGAACCTAGGGCTTTTTATAGTCTTCTGGCCGTTCCACCTTAAAGCGCATACTGACGACGCCGTCAATGCCGGCTAGGAGTTCATCGTTTTCTTTTACCGGCCCAACTCCCTTTGGCGTTCCGGTCAAGATGATATCGCCTTCTTCCAAGGTCATAATCTTAGAAATGTAACTGATGATATAGGGAATGGAAAAGATCATGGAGGACGTCTCACCCTCCTGCCTGAGCTCACCGTTGACCTTGAGCCAAAGGCGCAGCTTGTGGGGGTCGGGAATCTTGTCCTTGGGCACAAATGCGCTAACGGGGCAGGAGGACGTAAAAGCTTTAGCTAAGGTCCAGGGCAGCCCCTTCTTCTTACACTCGTCCTGAACGTCGCGCGCTGTCATGTCCAGGCACAGCGCATAGCCGGCCACGTAGTCCATGGCGGCGTCCTCGGGCACCGCACAACCGCGCCGGCCCAGCACCACGCCCAGCTCCAGTTCGTGGTGCAGTTCGCGGCTGTGAGCGGGCAGGAGTATGGGAGAGCCCTCGGGGGCGTAGGCGCTGGACGGCTTCAGAAAGAGCAGCGGCTCGCTGGGTACGGCGCTCCGCATCTCGCGGGCGTGCTCCGCGTAGTTCCTGCCTACGCACACGATGTTCTTTCCCCACTCCCAAAAGCGGGACATCGGCCTGGGCGCCGCCATAGCGCTCACGGGCACGGGTCACGGCGCCCGATCACGTGGGGCCCGCGGCACCTACGGCTGCCCCGAGGGGACAAATCACCTCCGATCTGTCCCGTAGGCTACGGCCCGATCTAGTCTGCGCTTGGTCTCCGAGGAGCTGCTATTCCGCGGTTGCTTCGCTGCTGCCTGGCCCCAGAAGGCCGGCCCTGTCTCCGGGAAGTCGGAGGAGGTCAGCGCGCAGGTCTCGTGACGCCAACGCCACTTCCCGGGATCCAGGCAACCGAAACTTGGGGAGGCTGCGGGCTCGACACTAACGCTCTGATGGCGGGGGCGGGGCTTACGATTGCTGATTGGCGGGCTCGCGCCCATCATTTTACGGGGGTGGGGCGGTACACACACCGCTGGTTGGCGGGGGCAGTGGTCGGGGAGAGCGCGCTGATTGACGGAGGCGGGGCGGAGTAGCGGTTTCTGATTGGCTGGGGCCCTCCTGCGCCAGGCGTGGTGCGGCCCCCGCCCGCTCCTGTCGCCCCGCCGCCCCACCGCCCTGGTCATGGTGCTGGGCCGCGGCTTGCTTGGCCGCCGGAGCCTCACTGTCCTAGGAGACTGCGCTCTTCGCGGCCTGGGTAGGTGTGCGGCAGGCGGCCTGGGAGCGGAGGCAATGGGTCTGACAGGGCCTCTCCTCTCGAGCTCCGCCCCAGGGCCTCTGTCAGTCTGGAACTCAGGCCCGGCTCCGGGGCACGAGCCGCAGACGCCGGGTGCAGAGGGTGCCCGTGCCGAGGCACATGCCGGCGGGTGGGGGGACACAGGGTAAACCGCGAACACGTTGTCTCGGGCTGGGGTCGCTAGCCCACCACGCTCCGGGCTGGCCGCAGGGGGCGGCCGCGAGCTGGCTCTGCCTGAGATCCACCAGGTGCCTAACGCTCGCCTGAGACCTCGGTGGGCAGCCGGTGGGGGATCCAGGAAGACCCCCCCCTCCCCGCGCCCAGGACCCAAGCACAGACAGGGACTTGTCAGCTGGGGGCGCTAGGTAAGAACGACTCAAACCCTGCGTCTCCCTCCCCGGAGTCTGTCAACAGCCAGCCAAAACCCTCACCCCAGACTACCCGGATCCCCTCACCTCTGATCCTCCGAGTTAGTGGGGGGAGTTTCTACATTTCGCCTTCCTCCCCTCATAGCATACAAAACCCACATTTCTGTGCTGAAGTCGTGCTTTAAGCCTAATAGAATGTCGTATGTACGTCTCCCCAAATAAATCAATTCATAAATAAATTCCATACTAGTTTTTAGCTAGCTAAAGGAGCCTTGGTGGTGCGGTGGGTTAAGCATTGGACTGCTAACCACAAGGTCAGTCAAACCCACCAGATGTTCCTCCGGAGAAAGATGAGGTTGTCTGCCCCCATCAAGATCTAGGAAACCCTATGGAGCAATTTCTCCTCTGTCCTGTGGGGATCCCTCCGCAGTGGGTGGATTTAGCTAACCAGGAAAACTGGGAGGCATGTAACTAAAGTGAAGACCACAGGCAGAACCTAGACATTGGGTTCCACTGAGACTCAGGTCTGTGAGCTAGGAGACCTGGGTCAGGTCACCACCTCCTTTCCATCCACTTTCTAATGAGTAGTTTTGAACATTGGGTCCCACCAACCTGTTCTTCCAGCTTTCAGAGTCTCACGGTGCTCTCTCTGGCTTTGCTGGGATTTGGTGGCCTGGATTTTGAAATCACATATTCTTCTTCATCACTTGTCCTGTATCTATCAAGCTGATGTGGCAATCGGGTTGAGTTGATTAACTGGCTGTGCTTGGGAACTGGTTAGCAGGCTGGATGACCACCGAGCGCAAAGTACAATGCTATACCTACTTTTCCCTCTGGCTGAGCACATCCACCATTCTGGAGGGCTTCACTGCTGGCTGTGTTGAGGATTTCCAGAATGATAGGTTTCCTTCCATTTATCGACATCCACCAAAGTATCAGAGGGGAGAGTGTTTGCATCCGGAGCCATGGAGATGGGGGGGGGGGCAGGTCTCATGTAAAGAGCATCTCTCTCTGCTGCTCACCCTTTGATGCCATGCTGCAGACAGGCCTAGGTGTTACTGGGTGCGGTCAACTTGATCCCCCACTCAAAGAGGTCCTGTGCGTCAAGGTAGAACTGCCCCAAAGGGTTTCCTAGGCTGTCATCTCGCCCAGTGGGCTAAACCTTGGGATATTAACCAGAAGGTTGCTGATTTGAACCCACCTGCCACTCAGCAGGAGAGCAGTTTAGTCTCCGAAACACTTTAGGGCAGCTCTGCGCTGTCCTCTAGGATTACTGTGAGTCAGAACCGACTCTTTATAGAATCTCTAAAGGAACAGATGGCCAGGATTTTCTCCTGCACAGCCACTGGCTGGGTTTGAACTGCCGACTTTCAACACTCTCTAACATCTTTGTGGAGTCCTGGTATGGCGCTACAGGATACTGCACTGGACTGCAAGGTTGGTTTGAACCACAAGGTTGGCAGTTCAAACCCACCAGCCGATCCTCAGAAACCCAATGCAGCCCCCCTTTGAGTTGGAACTGACAGTTAACAACAAAGTCTTTATGAAAGTTCTGTTGTTGTATGCTGGTGAGTCACATGATCCTGTGGGGTTTTCCAGGTGTTATCTTTCCCATAGCAGATTGCTGGGCCTCTTCTGCAGTATAGCTAGGTGGGTTCGAACCTCCAGTCTTCAGGTTAGCTGCCGAGTACACTGTTTGCACGGCTCAGAGACCTACAATGGGCCCAGCAAGAGGACTGTGAAGCTGTAAAGCGATAGTTTGTGAGCCCAAAACAGCCTGCCTCTGGCTGGGTCCAGACCATGGGCTGTGGGTCTAGGGTCCTGGCAGCTGCAAGCTGGTGAGTTGGTACCAAGCTGGTGCCTTGGTTGCACTTTCTGGCTGTTTACGGAGAAGGAGTCAGGTATCTGGTGGCCTGAACACCAGGCGGATTCTCCAAGCGGTCATGGCAGCCAAGCAGCCAGCTTCTCCACGGACTCCTTCAGTCCCTGGAGGAGGGGGCCGCCACGGCGAAATTGCATCCCCCTCACCTGGGCAGAATTCTCATTTCAGGTTTCTGTCCGGAATTACATAAACGGGGCCCCTTTTTGGGGAGTAAAATGCCAAATCCTGCTGTAACCCCCTCACAGGCACAGCCTGTTTGGTAATCCTGGACTCACAGGGTAGGGTGGGGGTAACCGTATCACAGAAATGAACACGCAGATGTGCTTATCTGCTGTGTGCGGGAGAAGGGGCTGCAGTGTGCCCAGATGGCTGACAAAGACAAGCGGCCCGTGAAAATGTCGGCTCAGACCCTTTCCCTGGCCCGGGGTCCTGCCGGCCCCTGGGGACTGGTGTGCTTTGGGTTCCCTTTCAGGAGAGCTCCCCCCCAACTCCCCACCATCCAACACCTACCCCCGGATGTTCAGCTGTCTCCTGTGTGCTTTGGCAGAAAGGGAAAAACCCTTTGCAGCTAACATTTCATTACTGCTGGGTTAGGCCACTGATGGAAACAGGTGGGCATGCGTCTTCCCTCAGTCCCTCAGTCCTCACCCCTTGGGCAGAACCGCCTGATCCAGCCAGCCGGTTCTGCTGCAGCCTCCACTCAAGAATCTAAAGCAGCCATAACGGGCTCTCCATTTCCCAGGACCGATGGTGTGTGGCAGCCAGCGCCCGTAAAGGTGCCTGCAGGGGCGCTCTCAGTCGCGATGGCAGTGGAATAGGTCAAACTGAAATTGGAGCCTGGTGGTGCAGTGCTTAAGCACTTGGCTGTGAAAAAACCAAAGGTTTGGTTGTTCAAACCCACCAGTCACTGAGGAAAAAGACGTAGCAGTCTGCGTCTGTAAAGATGTACAGCCTTGGAAACTGTATGGTGCAGTTATCTTCTGTCCTATAGGGCACGCTGAGTCGGAATTGTCTCCAGGGCAGTGGGTTTGTGGCCTGTTGACCTGAGAGCCAGAGGGCCGAGTCAGCTGGAGTGATGACAACCAGCTGGCAGTTCTGGTCCCTTTAAAAATAAACAAGCCCTTTGCCTTTAGGTCAGTTCTGATTCATGGAGGCCCAGGTGTATCGGAGTAGAACTGTGAGTCACAGGCCTTGTTTACCTTTTTGAAACTTTTGACGGCTGTTGGTGAAAGTTTACTGAGGAAATTGGTTTTCCATTCAACAGTTCATCTACATTTTAACTCATGGCCTCGATTGCAACCCCCACAGTGTAGCAGCGCGTGTCCACGTCCTCCCTGTGTGTCCTGTTTCCACTCCTCCTCCTCTCCTCGCCCTTCCTGCCTTCTGAGCGCTCTCCCTGGGCACTGGCTGCCCTTCGATCTCTGGTGCGTGGCTGTGGTAAGGGCGCCACCTCCTGGTGTGATTGCTCTCCTCACAGACCTGGTCATGATCTGGCGGAAAGCTGAACCTTGGGACTCCAAGAGCTTTCAATGACTGTGGCCTTTCTTCCACGGTGCCCCTGGGTGAACTGAAGCCTCCAATCCTCCTGGTTAGCCGTATGCTTAACTATCTGCATCACCCAGGGCCTCCAACTGGTCCCTTGAACAAGATCATGAGGCATAGGTCTGAACAGCTGATTTCCAGAGACATGGGTCATGGGAATGGTGGCGCAACCCAGAACACGCCTCCGCTGCCCTGGCCTGAAACACGTCTTCTGTCCCCAGGCCCAGCCCTCTTCTGTCACAGCGGCCTCAGGAAGAGCGCGGTGATCACTCAGGCCACCATGAAGGTGGAGCTGCTCCCCGCCCTGACCGACAACTACATGTACCTGATTGTTGATGAGGACTCCAAGGAAGCTGCCATTGTGGACCCGGTGCAGCCCCAGAAGGTGCGGACCGCCAGGGGGCGCCCTGGGAGGCTCTGGTCCTGACATTGACTCAGTCTGCCATGCACCTGCGAGTCCATTCTGACTCTTGATGACCCCTTGTGACCCCCTATCAGGGCCCCCCTCCCCCGTTTCTCTTACCTCTCCCCCTCAGCCATGACCATGACCTCGGCACTTAGCAGGTGCCCAGAAGACCAGAGGAACAGATATGGGGAGAGGGCCCCCGATTTTACCTTCTGTTGGTCCAAAGAGAAGGAGGCCAACCTCCCCGCCATGTGGGAGCCTGGTGGGCTGACCATGGCTGTGTCCTGCTGCAGGTGGTGGACGCCGTGAGGAAGCACGGTGTGAAGCTGACCACTGTGCTTACCACCCACCACCACTGGTACGTCTGGGCCCCAGGCATCTGCTGCGGGAAGTGTGGGATGGAGCACGCACAACCAGGGGTGCCTTTGGCCTGGGGGGGCTACCCCCCACTCCTGGGAGGACCCTGAGGCTTGTGCAGACCTTGAGGTCAGGGGACAGGAAATCAGTGTTGTGTTACGTAAGTCATAGAGACTTTTTTCTAAATAACTTTTTTTTTTTTTTTTTTTACTATAAATTTATGACCGTTCGTTCTGCAGATAACTAGCCATGGCTAGCAGCATTTTGTATTTTGGGAGAAGATAAAAAATAAAGAAACCGCACTTTTATTCCAAGGGAGTCGGGGAAATTCTCCTCAGCGTAAGGCAGCTGCAGACCAGTCAGCAGAGCATATGGAAGGAAAAAGCAAACACAGATTGCGAACGAGGCAAAGCAGACAAACAAGAATGAAGTGGAAATGTCTAGGGTCCTGGTGGGCGTGGAGACAACCCCATGGGTGCCCGTTTCTCCGCCCCAAGGTCACTTGTGTCCACAGCAGGGATGGCAGGGGGTCCCTGCTGCCGGGTCGGGTCTGAGTGCATCATGGTGAGAGGAAAATGGAACGAAACCTGTTCAGTGACTAAAAACTTAGACAAGCTAGAGAGTTTTAGTGACAGAAAGCAGTCAGGAAGCAGAGCTCTGTGGCTGATCGCAGAACGGTTTGACTTTGAGTGCTCCAAGCCCTCCCCTCTTACTCTAATTCCAAGGTCTCTGTGTTTTGGGGGCAGCTTTATTTAAAATATTGTGGTCTTTGGAAGTGTAAGTTCACCTTACTCTACACCTTCAGAATGGTTGATGAGCATTTAAACTGCTGGTAGACACAGCGGTTGGCAGAGGAGGATGTGACAGATTCAGGTTATTAGGTGGGAGAAGGAGGCGTCCTGAGACCCCCCTGGGGGCAGCTCTCCTCTGTCTTCTCAGGTTCCTAGCGCTTGCTCACCCCTGGAGTGGGGTGGGTTTGGAGACCTGTGGTTTTAATCCCATTTAGCAATGGGTTGTCTTTGTATGTTGATCCTGTTAGTCCTGTCGAGTCGGTCCTGACTCACAGTAACCCAACACACAGCAGAGCGAGACACCGCCCTCCCAGTTAGTTAGAGCCCAGTGCCGCTGCCACGATGCTAGTCCATCTTGTTGGAGTCGCCCTCTTTTTTGCAGAGCCTCCACTTTACCAAGCACGATGTCCTCCAGGAACTGGTGCCGCCTGATAACACCCGAGTGTAAATCAGAGAGATTGGCAGTTGGCACAGCGGGGTGACGAGAGAGCAGTGTCTGTTCAAGATAAGGGATGAGCAACAAGGATTTTGCAGGCTCTACTACACCAGATTAGGAGCTCTGGTAGCGTAGTGGTTATGAATTGGGCTGCGAACTGCAAGGTCAGCAGTTCAAAACTACCAGTTGCTCTGTGGGAGAAAGAAGAGGCTTTCTGCTCCCATAAAGATTTACAGCCTCGGACACCCTGTTCTTCAGGGTCACTATGGGTCAGAACCGACTCAACTACACCAGATTACTACAACTACACCAGATTACAAACTGGGCTGCTAACTACAAGGTCAGTAGTTCGAATCTACCAGTCTTTCTCAGTGGGAGAAAGATGAGGCTTTCTGCTCCCATAAAGATTTACAGCCTCAGAAACCCTACACAGGGTCGCTGTGAGTCAGAGCCCACTCAGTGGCACACCGTCACCAGGCCATGCTCCCGTGCCGTCTGGTTACCAGGAGTAGGAATAGACTCAGAGAAAGGAGGGTTGTGTGTGTTGTTAAGAACTTTGGATTAAAGCTCCATTTGGCCCTACTAGCCCACCTTCATACGGTAATCAGAGACAGACGTGGTCATGTGTTTGTGCAGTTGAGCATTTCGATGCTGGGTGAGAAGGAGAATGTGTATAGTATAGGAGTGAATTCTTGGCTGTGAACTGAAAGGTTCTTGCTTCACATGGACCAAGTGGCTGCATGGGAGAAGCGCCTGGCAGTGTGTTCTGTTCCTGGAGAGCTCACAGCGTCAGAAGCCCCCTGGGGAGGCAGCTGCCCCCACCACAAACAGAGTGAGCACCGTCCACTTCCTGGCTGGAGAGAACCCTGTTCCACATGTCCACTCCTTCTCATCCATGGACTCTTCCCTGCTGTCTGATTGAATTTGAGGAGACACTGGGGCATCTTAGGCGAGCGTGACGGGAGCAGGGCAGAATGCAGACATTGAAGCTGCTTTCAGTCTAGAAATCTGAGTCTAAGCAAATGGAGCCATATTTGGAGTGTTGTTCATAGTTAAGGTTGCAAAAACAAAGCCCAGGTTTGGGTTTCAGGCCCAACCCGCCTGCTCTAGGCCAACCCACCCGGTGGCTTTTTGAAACTTAAAGCTCTTCAGGGAGCCCTGGTGGCACAGTGGGTGAGGAGTTTGGAAAGTTCAGTGGCTCAAGCCCAGGAAAAAGGACCGGCAGCCAGCTTTGCTGACGTTGGGACGTGTGTGTGAGGCTGGTGTCGGGCCCTTCACATGGTCACACTGCTAGGCTGGGCTGTGTTGGTGACAGACAGACAGCTCCGGGCACTGTGCGAACACCCGGCTGCCTCTCCTATACTGACAACCCCACTCCAGGTGGCTCACTTTAGGGTATTTCGGGGCTTGTGGCTTCCCGCAGCACCCTCTTAAGGTGGTAGGATGTGAACCCCTCAGCCAGTGATGGGCAGAGCCCTGGGGCACTACACGGAGGAGGCTGTGTTGTTGCTGGTTCATGCCGGGCCTTGGAAAGCGTGAGCGAGGGTGCCCACTGAGACCTTTCTGTTTTGGGCCCACCTGGAGTCACCGCCGGCCCAGGTGTGACTAGCCCTCTTGGCAGACAGGGTCAGGGCACCTGAGAGGCAGGCATTTCTCACCTTGTCACACCAAGTCCTGGGCCCTGGCTGGGTGCACACCCACGTGTAACGAGGTGTGGGTGTGTGTGTGTGTGGGGGGTCCTCTCATCCTTGACCAGCAGCCTTGTCTAAAGAGGGTCACACGGAACCCTTTTCTGGACTGCGGATCCCCCCCACCCCCCACCCCTTGGGAAAGCAGGGAGTGCCGAGGTCACTTACCCCTGGGTGCAGGTTAGGAGTCAGGCCTCTTCAGAGAACCCAAGGGTGCCTGGAACCAGGGAGCCTGTGATCCAGAACCTTCCACAGCCGCAGGGCAGCTCTGAGGTGTCCATTTGGAAGCAGGGCGGGTTGGGGTGGGGTTCTGAGAAGAAGAACCGGGATTGGCAGCCAGGTCCCTGTCCTGACGGGCTCAGGTCTGCACTTCTGAGCAGCAGGCAGCTTAGCTTGCTCAGGCAGGCAGCCTCCTTCGTACCAGCGGTGCCCAGACCCCCGTTTTAACTTCCAGGGACCATGCTGGCGGGAACGAGAAGCTGGTGAAGCTGGAACCCGGCTTGAAGGTGTTTGGGGGAGACGACCGAATCGGGGCCCTGACGAACAAAGTCACCCACCTGTCAACACTGCAGGTGAGCCCTGGGCCACCCCCTCACTCACCAAGGCAGTCGTGTGTACCCATGGCCATGAGATCCGCACCTCTGGTGGGGCCAGGACTGCTGGGCTCTGTGGGACCCAGCAGGTGTGTGGACATGCATGTGTCATACCTGTGTGTGTGTTAATATGGTGTTTGCACGTCTGACACGTGATGTCTTACTAAGCAGTTTGGAAATGAAGAGTCGGGGGTGGGCTGGGCTGGGAGGGAACCAAACACCAGGGGGTGGGGGGATCAGACCACCTTCTGTTCTGCTCCACAGACCCCAGGGTCTGTCTCTGTAGTGACTGCAGGTGAGTGGGGCGGACCCTGCCACTTGTGTGACCCAGGAAGGATCTCCCATGAGCAGGTCACTTTCTCTCAGGTGGGGTCTCTCAGCGTCAAATGCCTGTCAACACCATGTCACACTTCTGGACACATCTGCTACTTGGTGAGCAAGCCGGGCAGCTCGGAGCCTTCCGCCGTGTTCACAGGTGAGTGGTGGGGGTAGGGGTGGTCTGTGGATTCCTGGGCTGAGGAGCTGAACATGTCGCCTCATGGGGGACCTGGGCACCGTTACCTGGACAGGTGGGAGCAAGTGTGCTGAGCACCCAGCCGTGCCCTTCCCCAGTGGGCTCATGCAGGGTTTGGGGCTCGTGGTGGCAGCGTGGGGCTTGAGAGGGCAGGTGAGGAGGGTTGGATGCCCACCATGTAGGTCCAGTTCAGTGAGCAGAGGAACCTGAGGGCAGGTCCTGGACATGGCCCCCACTAGGAAAGGCAGGCAGATAGTCGTGATGGGGGGCTCCTGGGAGCTCAGGCTTTGCACCTATGAGGGAGGGTCTGGGCAGGACCCATGCCACGTGATGTGTGGTTCGTAGTGGTTTTCAGGACTGGTGGTATCATTGCTGGGGCTTGGGGGTAGGGTGGGGGCTGCGGAGTGAGCGGCTGGCCCTGGTCCCAGGCCAAGATGCCTCCTGGCTATTAGTGGGGTGCATGTGAGGTTAGGGTTCACCCCAGAAGGCCTAGGCTGGGCGCTCACAGCTGTCTGTACTGTTCCTTGCAGGTGACACCTTATTCGTGGCTGGCTGTGGGAAGTTCTATGAAGGGACCGCAGATGAGATGTACAAGGCTTTGCTGGAAGTTCTAGGTCGGCTGCCCCCAGACACGGTGCGCAGTGCCCTCCCCCAACGTCCTGCCCTGAGATACTCCAGGCCGGCAGTGCCATCTTCTCCTGGTGCACACTCTGCCCCTCCTCCGGTTTACAGGAGTAAAATGAGAGCGGAAGAGAGGACATTTTATTGGTGCTGCTATACACACACACACACAGACGACATCTTATTGGAGCTAATGCCCCCCCACACACACACATAGGGGATGTTTTATCGATGCTGACCACTGTCAGTGCCCATGTCCATAGGGACATTGTTCCCAAAGCCTGAGACGTCCCACTGGCGAGCACACACAATGGGGAGACGGGCTGACCCACACCTTTCTCCTTCCTCAGAAAGTGTACTGCGGTCACGAATACACCGTCAACAACCTCAAGTTTGCCCGTTATGTGGAGCCCCACAACACCGCCATTCAGGAGAAACTAGCTTGGGCCAAGGTGAGTGGACAGTGGCAAGGAGGGGCACGGATGTGCAGAACCCGAGGGCCCCAAGCCGGCACAGGTCAGCCCAAGGGGCCATCCGCCTCGCGTCACGATCTGTTCTGACTCGGTGGGCTCTCGTTAGACTGTGTCCTGGACACTAGGGGTCTGTTTCCCTTATTCTTGACAGGGCCCAGCTCATTCGTTTCTTTGGTATGTTCTGTGTCCATCTGAGACAGCGCTCTCTGCCCTTTGGTCAGCATTTTTCTGAGAGGATTCATAGTCTTGGCATCTTCTGTTCAGGCCCAAGGCCCATTTCAAGTCAAGGTTTATGTATCGTGTGAGGTAGGGGTACCTGGTTGACTCATAGTGACCCAACCCTGTGCAGGGTTTCCAAGGCTATAAATCTTTACGGGAGTAGAAAACCTTCTCTTTCTCCCCCAGAACGGCTGGGAGATTCAAACTTTGTGGTTAGCAACCCAATCATAACCCATGACATTACCAGAGCTCCTTGGTCTTCCTTGTTAAGTGCCATTAAGCCAGTTCTGACTCACAGCCAAACTGTATAGGTTTCCAAGGAGCATTTGGTGGGCTCGATCCACCGACTTTGTGGTTCAGTTAATGTCAAACCTCAGCGCCACACCAGAATTTCCTGTAGGAGTCTGGGTATTAACCCATCACGTTTCAGAATGAACTTAGTTGTGGTGTAACAACGCTTTCTAGATACGACTAGAGTATTTTTATGTCGGTGTTCATGAGGGATTCTGATCTGTAGTTTGATCATAACCTCTTTGATTTTAATATCAGGGTAAAGCTGGCCTCATAAAATGAGTTGCAAAGTCATCTCTGTGTTAATGAGACTGTTTAGACTGGGTATTTCTCCCTTCACTGTATGAGTTTACCGGCGAGTCCACGTGGGCCTGGAAATAGTGTCGTGGAAGGATTTTGAAGTGATGAATTCAGTGACTGATTTGTATAGATTTTGGAGACTTACGGAGTCCTGGTGTGGTGCTGTGGGATAAGCTCTTGACCATAAGGTTGGTCGGAATTGCGAAGTCAGTTCAAACTCACTAGCTACGCCTCAGAAACCCTATACAATGTCGCCGAGGCACTTAGAAACAACAGGAGGCTTTTCTTCCTGAGTCAGTTTTAGTAATCTGTGTCTTTTAAGGAATTTGTCCATTCATCTGTTTTCAGATGTACTGGAAGAGTTTTCATGATTTCTCCTTTTTGTCAGTTTTGTTGAGGTGTAATTCACATGAAATGTATCAACTGAACAAGTCTGTAAGTTTAGACAGATGGATATTCTAATGCAATGGCCGTTTCAATTACAAAGGCGCCTCCAAGTGGCACAAAGTGTTAAGCACATCTTTAATTGGCATTTCTCTAATGGCCCCATGCTGGTGTGGCACTGTGGGTTATGTGCTGGACTGCAAGGTCGGTTTGAACCACAAGGTCAGTGGTTCAAGCCCACCAGCTGCTCAGAAACCTTATACAGGGTGTCTATGAGTCAGAGCAGGCACACAGGCACTAACGCGGCCTAGTAAGAGTCCTGGTGTGGTGCTGCTGCAGTGTAAGCATTGGACTGCAAGGGAAGTGGTTCAAACTCACTAGTCGCTCTTGGGAAAAGCCTATGTAGGGTCCCCGAGCCGGGATCAAGTCAACCCTTGACAATAAAGGGGCTCTGGTAGCAGAGTAGATTATTAGCTGGGCTGCTAACTGCAAGGTCAGGAGTTCAAACCTACCAGTTACTGTGAAGGAAAAGCGGGAACTGACGTGGTGGCGCAACACCACCACCTAATGAGGCGCCCGCAGCGCAGTGGGAGAAGCACCCACTGCTGTGGAAGGGTGGCAGCTCAGACTCACCCACTTGTCCCTTTCATCCGTGGCTGAAGGGGGAGGCGGCCTTGGAAACGCTCTCCAGGTGGCTGGGAGTCAGAACTGACTTGCGGGCAGTAGGGATGGATGCCTGGTGGCTTTGTTGAGACCTTTTGTGTAATTACTGGCCGTTTTGTTAAGTTTTTGTTCCAATTCTTTGGCCCATTTGAACAGTGGACTGTCTGCTTATTGAAAACCAAGATGGTGTTTTCTCCCCTTTCATAAGGCAAAGGAATGAACCCTGGTGGCGCTGTGGGTCAGGTGATGGGATGCTCACTACAGTTGGTGGTTCAAACCTACCAGCTGTACCAGGGAGAAAGTCTGTTCCCACAGAGATGACAGCCTCGGAGCCCTGACAGGGCAGCTGCTCTGTCCTCCAGGACGGACGGCAGTGATTGTGAGGAGGGCCCCCCACCCCGTAAGGCTGACTTCTTGCCCGACAGGTAGACCCGGTCAGTTCTGGCTGTCCGCAGCCCTTTAGGGAGTCTCTGAGCCTGTCTGTGCTGACGCCGTGTCTTGCAGGGCAAGCACGCGGTCGGGGAGCCCACAGTGCCGTCCACCATCGCTGAGGAATTCACCTACAACCCGTTCATGAGAGTGAGGTGAGGGGCATCCTCCCGACGTGCAGCCAGAGAAGGGGGAGGTCCTCGGCGAGTCTCAAGCCCCCGGACTGCAAGCAGCAAGTGTGTTTTGGTGGCGGCCGGGCCCTTTTTCCCAGTCCACTCGGCCCAGCCCGGCATTGTGTCCCGCAGGGAGAAGAGCGTACAGCAGCACGCGAGGGAGACGGACCCCGTGACCACTATGAGGGCCATCCGCAAAGAGAAGGACCAGTTCAAGGTGCCGCGGGACTGAGGGCCAGCGCCACCAGGGAGCGCCGGCGGGCGGTGTCTTAGGTAACGGATTCCGCGTCCTGCCAGCAGGGTGGGAAGCTCCCTCCGTTGTGGTTTAATTTTGTATTAATTCCAGAGCCTGCAGTTGCTCGTGTTCTCTAATGTTCTGAATCCTATTTATAAGAGAAGAATTTAAAAAGTATTTATTCCCGTAACTTCTGCCTATGGACTGTGTGTGAAACACCAGGTGCAGGATGTCTGTCGGAGGCTTTAATGTGCGTTTACCTGGTCACTGGAGACGCAGGCCGAGTGGCCACTTCCCATGCTGACTAATCTTTTTGGTCTCTCTTCCTGTTTCCCGCCACGCAGTGTCCCACCACGTGGTATCCATCTCACAATGCTTGGCAGGCCCCCCTCAACATCCCCACACTTTCAGTGTGTTATTTGCTGGCACTTGTTTACATGTGGCTGGTTTGTGATGGGCATGCTTTGCAGTGTCTTAGTGGCCAGCCAAAAAGCCACTACCAATGAGCTGATTCCTGCTCCTCAAAGCCCTAGAGGACAGCGTGGGGTCCCCACAGGAGTTCCTGGGGCTGCCGGCTCCCCAGGAACGGACCACCTCGGCTTTTTCTCACCAAGCAGCTGGTGGGTTCTCACGACGTCACCAGGGTCCTCCTTGGTGGCAGCAGCTCTCTAAGAGGATGGAGGAGCATGGCTACAGTCGGGTTTGCAGGTCCCCCACAGGAGGGGTGTGTTCAGTTGTCTTTGCTGCCCGCTCATCGCAGGCCTGAAACGGGGCTCCCCCCCCCGACACCCTGCCTCCTACTCACCAGCTCACAGTGACTCGCCAGCTGACCCACTGACTGTCTAGTTCCCGGGAATGACTGCTGAGTGCCCATGTCACTTGTCCATGTGTCTGTCTCTGGAGCCGCCGAAGTCAAGAGCCACCTTCTCCCTGTTCTGAAGGCCAGAAGTCTGAAGCCGGGGAGGGGGCCCTTCCTCATTTCTCTGGCTCCAGGCCATCTCAGGCTTGTGGCCGGCCACCACCTCGCTCCCTGGTAAGAACAGTAGTTGGAGGACACCTGCAGCAGGCAGTGCTCAGGGCCACGCGGGGCTCATGCTTTGGTGATGCGGAACTGTTGACTCCTTTCCTAGTGAGCATGGACGCAGCCAGAGAAGGCCTTGAAAGTGCGCAGCCTCAAGTAGGAGGGGGCTTCAAAGAGCCGGTGGGCAAATGGAATGACAAGATAATGGAGGTTTCCCCACAAATTCCGACTCCCTCCTACAAACATGGACGGCTCCGAGGGCTCCTGAGACTACCCCATTCGGTGGGAGGCAGCCCAGCAGCTCCCGTCCCACGCCTCCTCTGAGGGATGTTAAAGTTTCGTCAACTATTTGCCATCTCCGTGGTGGTGGTGGCCGTCCCAAGGAGCAGTGGTCCCTCTCCTGCAGCCAAGTCCCCAATGTGTTTCCTCCCACACTCTACGGACCCCACCTGCCTGGAGGGTCCTCTTGTTCCCTGAAAGGGGGGCTTCCCACACGCGGCTCCTGCGCCCTCTCTCTTCAGCAGGGTCCACTGCATCCTCAGCATCATAGCTGTTACAGCTCTGCAGTGTAAAACGGCTGAAGGCGTCTCCCATCGACAACAATGGGAACAGGATCGAAACCACCCTGACTTGACCTTTCTGGAACGTTCCAGCACCATCCTTTCAGGTGACCAGGGTGGGCCACATCACAGGCCACAAAACAAGCCACAGAGAGTCTGTTTCTAAACACAATCAAAATGGACGGGTGCACCCTGGCCTCCAGCCACTAGATGGCAGCAGCACAGTCCAATGAAAACCACCAATGTCACGTCAGGCAGCGTCCCTGCCTGCTGCTGGGAGAGGCTAACAGGCAGGCCTGAGGCCCACGGGAACCTCCGCCCGCCCGCCGCACAGGGACACAGTGGAAACCTGTGCAACACGCTGGTTACCCGGGCGCCCCACGCACGCAGGGACTGGGCCGTTTCCGCTTCCTGGAGTCTGTTCACCAGCTCAGCACAAGCGCCCGCGGACGCTGACGCTGACGCACAGGAGGTGCCCTGGCCACGCTGTCGTCCTTAGGTGTCACTGAGTGAATCCTGTGCTGTCCCCGCACTCACCCTTACGCGACAGCCCACTGCTGCCGGTACAATGTCAGTCCATCTCACTGGGGTCTTCCTCTTTTTTGCCGACCCCCCCTCCAGCTCCCTTTACCAAGTATGATGTCTTTTCCCAGGGACTGGTCCCTCCTGAAAACATATCCGAAGTCTGAGAGAGAAAGTTTGCCATCTTGGCCACAACTCTTCTAGGAACACCCAAAAATGTTTTCATTAACTTTTAAAATCAGAAGGAAAAAAATGAACTTTAGAACAATCTATTATTACACAATTCTAAAACATTAGTCTTTATACCAAAAAAGGAGAAAAAAAAAAGGGCGGGGGATGCAGTTAATGAATGTAGTGCTTAGAGGAAGGAAAAAAAATGTCTCAAATATAAAGCCCAGCTCCCATCCAAACCGACAAGAAACAGGCAGATGAAGTCTGAACAAACCAAACGGAAATAATACATCGATGCAGCGAAAAGTTGGTTCTCTGAAAAGATCAAAATTGATCAAAACAAACCCTTTGCAGACTGACCCATGCAATCAGAGGACGCCAATGACCAAACCCCTGTTGTTTAGTACTGTCCAGCTGCTTCTGACGCACAGTGACCCGATAATGGGTTTCCGAGGAGCGGCTGGTGGGTTTGAACTGCTGATCTTGACAACTTAAATGCACATTTCTAGCAAGACATAAATCATCAAAACTAACCACCAAAGTCTGAATTGGCCCCTAGTGGTCTCACAGCGCCCTTCAATTAGAATGTGCCAATCCTGCACAAAGTCTGACAACGGGAGAGGCCATGTCCCTCTGTGAGGCCAATGTTATCTGATACTAAAGGCAACTCAGTGTCAAAGTCCTTAAAAAACATTAATAACCCCAATTCACCAACACAACACGAGGCCCAAGTGGGATTCCGCCCAGGGATGCAAGGCTGGGTGAACGTCTGAAAAGGAATCAATGTGATAACCGTCTTAATACAACAGATACACCAAAGGCGCCTGAGAAAACCCCACACCGGTTTGTAGTAAAGACTCACTCGACCCGGGAGGCGGCCTCCGTGGGCCCCCACAGCCCATGCGGTGGCTTTACCCAGCACACACATATCCTCCTTCGTATAGCTCTGGGGGTCTCAGGTCCAACATGGGCTGTTCCCTCTGGAAGTTCTGCACCCCTCAGACCTCCTCGCCACCTCCTTTTCCACTTTCAGTACCCCTGGGGCCCACAGAGAAAATCTTGCTATTTTGAGGGCAGCTAGTTAGCACCTTTCAAACTCCCTGTCAGATAAGGAATAGTCCAGGACTCAGGATGTGGACATTTTTTGGGTGGTATCACCCCACAACATCTGTGAAAATCACGCAGAGCCATACTTAGGACTGCAAGACTGGTCACTCCCTCCTGAGAGCACAGGACAAGGACATCTGAGCTTGCCTCTTCCACTCCCGCAGTTCTGTAGAGGACGCAGCAAGGAAACAAGAACCTAGATGGGAGAGGGCAACGGGAAGAACACCTTTCATCACAGCCGACGTGGTCCTTAGGTGGGGAAGAGTCTAAGGACTACACATACACACACACACACACACACACACACAGAGACACACACACAGAGACCCAAGTTACTGGAATAACAACAGGGCTCCTGGTGTGGTGCTGGTAGGATCAGCTCAGCACTGGACTGTGAACCACAGGTCGGCAGTTCAAACCCACCAGCTGCTCCTCAGAAACCCTAGTCAGGGTTGCTATGAGTCAGAACCAACTTGATAGCGCTTGGCAACAACAGTAGGAAGTTGAGCATGATCCTGAGATCTAAAATCAATAGTATTTCCATATGCTAATGACCAGTGAGAAAGAGAAATTAAGAAAACAATTCCATTCATTACATATCAAAACAAACAAAATGCTTGGGAATTACTACTTTTATTAAATAACTTAGAAGACCATGTTTCCAAAGACACTGGAAGGAAAAACTAACAAACTAGCTGCAGAGATCCGAAATCTTCAGCTAAAGACCAGTATCCAGACATTAGGAGCTCTGGTGGTCTGTAGGATAACAACTGGACTACTGACCGCAGGATTGGCAGTTCAAACTCAGCTGCCGCTCCACTGGAGAACAATAAAGCTGTCTTCGGTAAAGACCGACGGTGTTGGATCAGAGACGCTAAACCCGATGGCAGTGGGTTGAGTTTGGCTTTGATCTCTCATATATACGTGTCAAGTCTCACAGCTCAGGAACAGGCAAATGACCCAATTTTAAAAATGGGCAGACGACTCCAGTAGATCATTCAGCAAAGAAGATACGTAAAAATAACCCAAGCCCATTGCCATTGGTGGCTCATGGCCACGTGACCACATGTGACCTGAGTAGTAGAACCAAGCTCCACAGAGGTCCCTCGGTGGCACAAGCTATTTGTGCTCAGCTAGTACCGACTCCATGGCACAAAACACTACCACCGCCAAGACGTAACTGAAAGGAATCCTGGTATGGCGCCATATGATAAGCATTCGACGTCATGGTCCGTTTGAACCCAAAGGTCAGTGGTTCAAATTCACCAGCCACTCCTCAGAAACCCTATACAGGGTCACTATGAGTTGGAGACAACTCGACAGCACTTAAAAAGTTAACTGAAAGGCGTCCTGGTGTAGCGCTGTGAGGTAATGCACTGACTGTGAAGTCTGTTTGAACCACAAGGTCAGTGGTTCAAGCTCACCAGCTGCTCCTTGGAAACCCTATACAGGGTCGCTATGGGTCAGAACTGACTCAACCGCACTCAACAAGAAGTAACTGAAGGGTGGGCTGTTCAACCCCATCCCGCAGTGCCAAGGAAGACATGAACATAACTAGTAAACATTAACTAGTATACTCAGTATGTGGAGTCCTGGAGCTGCTCACTGACTGGCAC